CCAGATGCTCTGTTAAAAACAGCACGCCCTTTCCGTGTTATTGGCGATGTCAGGTGCACTTTTCATGTTGTGCATAAAAGCAAGACATTAATGTAAACTTTATTTAAATGCTGATAGTTGAATGAGACCGGTTATGTCACAGGCTCAAATGGCTGCTATCTTATCCGTACATATATCCAATTAAAAAAGCAGCACACTCTTCAGGCCACACAGTAACACTGTTTATTGTCGGTCTGTTCCCCAGAGGCATCACGTCACTTTCTCCAAATTAAAGCTCCTCATTTTCCCATCAGCTCCACAGTCACACTAAAAGTTTTCTCTTTGCTTTAGCAGTCAGACTTAGATGCACTGTCCTCGTTCGGATGTTCTAAACACGAAATTTTCAGTTATATTTATGTTATAATTAACTAATTAATAAAAGCTCCAGAGATAAATATCACCATCGTATTTTCCATTATTGTATTTTTAAGCTTTCCAGTGCTGCACCTGTCCTCCTGTGGGCTGTGGGAAAAATAGATAAGGTAGATAAAACGTAGGGCTCTATGAATGCGTGCTTAAAGTAGCTTGTTGTCGGAAGTCCTTTGTTTGGTCAGTAAGACTAGAAAAGCGCCAGTCCTCTGTCAGTACCAGCCACATACACTCTATTTGAGGGGTTCAAGGTAAGGCTAAATACGAGGTATCCTGTGGAGTTTTTGATCGCTGGCTCTAGGACAACACTTTTATGAGTGTCCCTGTTTCGTTTGTATCGTGTGAGGACACCAGGACATCATAGCAAGTGGGCAGCTTGAGTCACATCCTGCGGTTACTTTGCTTTTATGCACTAACGCATAAAAAAACTTTAGTTTCAGTTTGTGGTATAAATGAGCGGAAATATAACATTAGTTTCTTGGGGTCTAACATCCTCCTAATAAAACGCCCAACTGAAGCACAAACACGCATTGAACACTTTTCTTTTCTAAGTAAGTATATTTCAAAAGGTGCTATTGACATGAAATTCTTACCAGATGTCGGTAGCAACCCATCCAATCTACATACAAAAAGAAATAAAGCCATAGATGTCCAAGAAACAAATTATGTGCCAGTCATTTAATGGCAAGCCTATTTGTTGAAATCTCACTGCATCAGTTTTTATCATAAAGCTCAACTTAGATAAATCATAGAAAGAACTCTACAGTGTATTGTTCTGGGCTGGGTGACCTCTTGCAGATATCCCCAGTAGTGTCAGCCCAGTGTCCAGACCTGTGAATTTGCCCCTCCCTGCTGCCGTGACTGATTCAGATAAAGAGGTAAACCATGTGTTTTGATTTGGCAAGTCACACAACTTCAGATTTTTGACATCAGCAGTCATTTAACAAGCAGAGGAGATGATGCTGGAGCTGTCGGCTCTGATGTTCTTTGGTGAATGCTGATTGATATGCATGGTGCTGCACAGGTCCCACTGAAGGAGTGTTTCTAATCTAGAAGTCTCTGAATCTGCTCTTCCCATTCCTCCTGGAAGTTGCGGGATTGATGCCCTCAGTTCTGTCCAGGTATCCTCATGTAACTGCCCATCTCAAGATTTCCGCTCCGCACTCTTGAGACTGTGCTGGTGCGTCATTCAGGTTCCACAGGAACAGCTTTAACTTCTTATCTGCATCAGGTTCATGAGCCATAAGTTATTCTCTGCGCCACAAGTGTTTAACCTCTGCAGATTTATTCTCTGTGTGCACCTTGGAAAAGGTGAAGATGTGCCAGAGGTCTGCTCTGTTTCAACAAGCTCAACTTTCTTGGGGCTGATAGTCAGGGTGTCGCCACATCTACTGATTCGGTTTGGAGACAGTGTGTGTTTTGCGAGCCCCAAATTTATGCCAATGTGCTTATAATTGATGACTCAATGGACTCATTGATTTACAGGAGAAAATCTTTAGTTAGAAACATATTCTCTGTATACAGGGTAGTCTGTTAGGGTCAGGTCAGTCACGCTTGCACACTAGTGAAGTGAATCCAAAGTAAGATTTGGAATACCGAAGCCACCATAGGGCTGTTGCCAATTCAGTTTGGGTCTTAAAGTGTATGCTGCCAAAATATCCAGTTAACCAGTTACTGAGAGAAAATGGCCAAACAATCAACCTGAAAATTTTGGTCTGTTGCCTGTTTTATTTGATGTTGATCTTGGCTTTACTTCCCCGATTACAAAAGCATTGTCTCAGATTTATTTTTATTGCTGAGTCCAGAAAACAAGCTATAGAAATAAAAATCAAATCAATTCTTGACCGTCAGCTGACATGCAGCATTGCATTACTCGCACCTCTCGGTGGCGCCAGGGAGCTGCCCGTGCAGCATCTGGCATCATGCCGGGGGTCAGAGCCACAAACCCTGGGAAAAGCAGTGCTTTGTCCATATAAGGCTGCAATCCATCCGCTTCCCTCTTCCTCCCCAGCTCCCTTCCTCTCTCTTTCTCAGACCTGAGGGATATTTAGAGAGAGCGCCTCAGCCAGCCTGCCCTTCCTTATTAGGAGCTCAGCTTGTTGTCAGAGGTTCTAGCCTGCAGGACAGTGGTCCATCTTTCTACTCTCAGATGAGACAAACAGATGGATGGCTCGTGTTAACTACACTTTACTGCAAGTGGGAAAGAAACACTGGGACTCGCACAGCTTCACCCATATGTCTGAGCACTCCAGCATATGTAATGACACCAGCTTCTATCATGTCAAGTAGCTCTTGATGTATTGTCCACCTGGGAGCAGAAGCAGATTAATGCAGCAGCACAAACATACTTTAAATACATCTGTGTTGGACTGTTTCCTCTTTTAGGCCTCTTGGTGTGTTCCAGCTGTTCAGTTTCTCTCTTTTTCCCCCTAGTGACAGAGGACATCTGGCTACCAGCAGACAGACTAACAGACACCGTGCACATGGATGATACAGTATAGTCTGGGAAAACAGAGCTAAACGCAAACAAACAGGTGACCGCAAAACATAAAAGTGAGCCACTCAATGACTAGAGTTACAAAAGAGGCAGGAATCCATCTGGGAACTGAGTGTTGTGTACACTGATAAGACAGAGTCTGCTTGAACCGAGGTGGATAATAACCAAGCATTTGCTACAAACACACTTTTATTAGGGTGCAGACATCCATTTAATATATTAGAAAACCAACATGTGAAGCAAGGCTACATGGAATTTTACTTCAAAGGGGTATTGTTCAAGGCTAACATTTATACACAGATTGTACATAACCATGCTCCTGTGTCAGAGGAATTGACGCCGAAAAATTATGAAAATATTTAATCCGATGATAACCAAAAACCACTCATAGCATAACAGGATGTGCAATGACCTCTGATATTCACCCACTGGTACTTTCTAACTCTACTTGCTTAAAGGCAAGCAGTCGTGAGGTGGTAAACTGAAACGTTTTCTGTCTGGAGGACGGGCAAAGCCTCGCAGATCTTTATCGCTTTGCAGAGAATAAAGTGCTGCGGTCGACTGACCAGTCAGTTTTTGTGTGTGTGCGCTTTTCTTTTTTTGTTTTTAAGAGCATGGAGTGTATCTGTGGTCACAAAAATATAAAAATGATGTGGGGAAGTGCATAGGTGGAGAGGTAGGTGGCTTCAAACACTTGCACATGGAAAGACAACAACCCAACAGACCTTCA